CCCCCCTCCCTCCTATATAGCTGGTTGGCTGGGCACACGCTACTCTTGCCAATGCCAATCAATGGAGACACAACAGACAGACAGACAGACGGACAGACAGAGTTAGTGAGTGGAGAATGCACTGAGGTCGAGTATACAGAGCAGGAAGGCAAGCAAGGCGGGGCAGTCCCATGCACACGTTTGTAGACAGACAGACGGGGAGACCGATAGACAGACGAACAGACAGACGGATGGACCATGCGTCACACCGGGCGGGGCTTTCTTTCTTTCTCTCTATAGCGAGGCGACCACCACACGACAACACACGAAACGAAAACGGAGGGACCCTACAGAAACCATACAGCCCCTGGACTTGATGCTCTCAGACATCCAGACAGACAGACAGACACTAAAAGACGCGCGCTCGGCCACTGCCGGCTCTCTTGCCTCTTCCTCCCCTGCCCGCTGCGATCCATCCGCTCGCCTCTCTATCCCTCCCTTTCTCTGTGTATGTGTCAACGGCATCCGCTTTGTCCGTCCATCATACAAGCAAGACGCACGCACGTACTCACGCACGCAAAACCACAAAAAGGCGTTCGTTGTTTGGCTGGCTGGCTGGCTGAACAGACGGACGGACGAGCGGAAAGGAAAAACACCGACCGTCATGATTGATCAATCAATAAACAGTCAGCCACACACACAGAGAAACAGGGGATGGATGGATGGATCGATCGATGAAGGGGCGCCCCATACGGATGGATGGCAGGCAGCGGACGGGCACTTCAGTATTGCTGTGTGTGCGTGCGTGGCTGGGCAGCTGGCTGGCTGGCTGGCTGGCTGATGGTCCTTGCTGCATTGGCGAAAAAGCGACAACAGACAGACAAGACACACCTTTCCTTCCATCCATTGTTGACGACGCATCCATGACGAGCGAGCCCCCACGCACCACACCACACTGACCGACCGACCGACCGAAACGGAAGCAGGCACACGTATGTATGTATAGCTTAGTGAGTGGTCCGGCCGAGGGTAAGTAGAGAAAGACACTGATTGGTAGGTATGTATGTACACAGACAGACAGATAGATGGGAGGGGGGAAGTATCCATGTGTGTAGGTAGCGTAGCAACACCACAGCCCCTCCCCCGGTCATCAAACACACCAGCAAGACAGGCAGCAAGCGAGTCTCCAGCTTCAGCGAGTGAGTGAGTGAGTGAGTATCTTAGCAGCAGCAGCAGCAGCAGCAGGGGCAGCAGGCAGGCCAGCCATCATCAATCATTGTTTTCTGCCCGCCTGCCTGCCTGTCTGTATGTCAGCCAGCATTCTTCCGTCCGTCTCTTCTGCACGCGCTTTTCCCTTCCTGCTCACACATCCTGCCTGGCGTGGGGGAAAATGCCAGCAAATGGGTCAGACAGAAAGGGGAAGGAAGATGCCACACAACACGCGACACGAATGAATGAATGAATAAATGCATGTGGAATGGATGGGCCTGTGCGGGACAAAGAGCACGGCCCGGAAAACGACCGACCAGCAAGCATCAAACCCGATCAGTTAGTGAGGATACAAATACATAGACAGAGAGAGAAAGAGAGTGAAACAAACAGAGCGAACACGCGACAAATCCTGAGATCCCAACCGCCCATCCTTCCTTGACTGGTTGCCGTTTCGGTCTTCCGAACACATCACACCACACCACACCACACACCACAGACAGGAACACAACCCGAAAAAACTCCCTTGTTGGCCACTTTTACTCAGTACCTCCCTAGCCCCTGCTGCTGCTGGCTCTGCTGCTGCTGGCCTTGTTGTCGTTGCTGCTGCATCTGCGTCGTCTGCCCAGCCGGCCCCAGCTGCCCCATTGTGTAGGCATCCCAACCGATGTGCGCCGGGTAGAAGGCATTCGTGGCATTGTAGGCGGGGAACGGCCGCGCACGAGCGTATTGAGCGAAGGAGAAGCCGCCCTGCGGCTGTGCGGACGGCAGGACGCTTGCACTTTCGCTGCTGGGGGCCTGCTGTGGCGCGGATATGGCTGGTGGGGGAGGGGTTTGGGGGTAGGTGGGCAGCCGCACGGTAGTGGTCTGCGATGGGACGTCGGTGTTGGGTGGGACGAGAGAGGGGTCGACAGACGAGTGGGGCGACCGGAGGTTGGCGGACTCGGCCTCGGTGATGCGCTGCAGCAGCAACACGTGGGCCGTGTGCACGGACGTCACAGAGCCTGCACCACCATACCATCCTTGCAGTGTGCGGGTGTGTCGATCGGTGTGTCCGTTGCCTCACCTTGCAGAGTGACCTTCCTGTCCCGCGTGCCCTCATAGTAGTCGCCCTTCTGGCTTATCTGTATCTTGGCGCCGCTTGTCTGACCAGTGAACGCACCCACACCAACGGAATAGACAGACAGACATGGACAAAACCACATTAGAAGAAAAGTAATGCCTACGTTTGTGATGTCCTGCAGCGAGGATCCGCCTTTGCCGATGACGGCACCGACAAGGAGGTCGGGGATCTTCATGTCAATCTCACACGACTGCTGATATATCTCTGCAGAACGGCCAAGCCACACAGACGACCACACACACACTTCTGTGTGGCTGTGGTCGTCTGTGTGTGTGGCTGTCTGTGTGTGTGTGGTGTACCCACCGTATGATATGTTGTGCGGGAGAGATGTTGGCCTCGAGTCATCTCCGTATGGCCCTCTGGCGCCGGCCAGCCCCTCATAGTTCACATCAAGGTACTCCTTCAGACTCGGGTCACCCTGCACCCGTCAGGTCACAGCGCCACACGGCACTGTCGTGTCTGTGTGTTTACATGGTGTGGTGTGGTGTGATGCGACACTGACCTGTATGCTCTCTGCGATGTGTGCGATGGCCTCGTACACGGCGTCCTGCGGCCCGTTGACCGATATGATGCGCTCGGAGAGGGCAACGGCACTCGGCCCGCCCAACGCAGGACTGACAGCACAACACGCACACACGTGATTTTTCTCTCCATCTTTTTCTCTCTCCCCGCCGATCGACTGACCCCTTGTTGGCCACGTGTACTTTGGCCTGCGTCCTGGCCTGCAGCGCCTTGAGCTTCTCTCCTCCCCTGCCAATGACGGCACTGATGGTGGTCTCGGGCACGACCATCTGACACAGAATGGGCCGGGGGCCGCGGCCTTCGTGTGGCAAGGCTGGGCCGTTGATGGCCGCGCTCTCCTGCACCTTCTTCTGGATACACACACACACACACACACGCACACACACACGCGCGCAGACAGAGAGAGAGAGAGAGAGAGGTGCGTCTGTGCTGATGCGCGGAAGTGTGCATGTGTGTAGGCAGCGTACGAGTATTTCTCTGAGTGCCCGGTGTAGTGCGTCCATCCTCCCGCCCATGACGACGATGCGGTCCTGTGTGCCGGGGAAGTAGACGTTGGTCGGACTCAGCTTCATGATCACACCACAGTCACGCTCCATCATCGCTATCACTGAACCTATCGGTCGGCAAACACACACAGACGTCAGTCACTCTCAAGTGTGTGTGTTCGGCCACCTCCTGTGCTTTCTCCCTCCCTCCCTCCGTCCCTCACCTCTCTGGCCGATGATAGATCCCGCCACGAAGTTGTCGACCAGCAGCTTCATGTAACACGGCCCATGAGCGATGGCCGCCTTGCCCTGCTTGTGTGGCGCACCGCCAGCCACCGCCGCACCCACAGCACCGACAGAACCAGCGGTCGGCACCCCTCCTCCCACCCCCTGCTGCATGTTTTGGTGCTGCATCGACACTCCATGGCTGGTCGGGATGGCCTGTCCAGGCGGCGATTGGGACGGGAAGGCGGTGGGCGGGCCTAGAGGCCCTGTGGACATCGAAGCGGCAACGTTGGCGGCCACACGGATGAGATTGGGCGACGGATAAAGGGGCGGATACGAAGGCACGGCGGTCGGGAGGGAGGGAAAGATATAACGAAAACGAAGCAAAGGGCGATCCCACGCTCTCTTTGGTTCTCTGGCTATTCAGTCGGTCAGTCAGTCAGCCGCCGAGAGGCAGCAAGTTGAAAATAGAGCACAGTGATGTTGCCGAAGTCGGTGCATAGCTCCCTGCCCTGCCTTCCATCTTTCCAGTGACTCTGGAGAGAGAGGCAGAGAGTAGAGCGGTTTCACGAAGGGACGGATGCGAGCTTGTAAACGGAGAGATGCGGATCTGCGGCTCTCACAAGAGGCAGGTGTGCAGATGTGAAGCAGGCAGAGAGGCACGCCGGGTTGCAGTGCAACAGTCGCTTGCAATTGAGGCACGTGTGGATGGATATCTTGACTCGCGAGAGCTGAGTGAGGGAGGGTGTGGGAGGGAGGGAGGGAGGTGCTACCCGTGAGGCCACATGTGTGCATTCAGTCAGTGTATTCCATTCATTCATTGATTCATTGATTCACTCAGGCGCACACTGGAGTCAGTAAGTCAGTCAGTCAGTCATCAAAACCAGACACCGCGTGTGGGCGAGTGAGTGTCAGACAGACGGAGTGGTCCAGAGACAAAAGGCAAAACATCATGCGGTGACCTACCCTCCGATCACCCATATGTGCGGTGTGCGTATCACGACAGAAAAAGAGGGGATGGGCACAGCTGTGGCGACTAAACTATCGACAGACACGAGGGGGAGGGAGCGGGGCAGACAGGCAGGCGGGCGGGCGGGCGGGCAGCTGTACACAGGCAGGCAGGCAGCAGAGCATGTGTACCCACCACCCAGGCCACTCCACCCATGACATGGGAGGGAGCAACAGAGAGGGCATGCACGCGCCATCAAAACCTCTCTCTGTCACCGTAACGAGACAATCGAGCACACAGCCGCAGGACTACCACCCATTACGACTTCATGTCGTGGTCCGCCTCGCGCTCTTCTTGCTGCTGCTGCTGGTGGTGCTGGTGGTGGTGGCCCTCCATCTCCTCTCGTGGCCGCTTCGTTCCGCGACGCAACTGAGTGACAGACAGACGACAGACACAAAGACGTTTGCTTCAATCGTAGCAATTATGGGTATGCACCTGATCTATCGCCTGTCGCAGCTGCTCGTTCTCGGCCTCGAAACGCTGCCGACAGGCCGCCTCCTGCACAGCCAAGGCGAGTACACACATAGAGAAACGGGGCACAGAGAAAGGAACCGGTGTGGCTGGTACTTGACGCACCTGATCTCTCTCCTCACGCAGCTGTAGCCGCTCGGCTTCATGAGCCTTCTGCCGAGCGGCCGCCTCCTGTGTGCCAAAGACACATCCAAGCACACAGACAGAGAGGGTGAGAGGCTGAGAGGACACAGAGACAATCAGACAACGGAATAGGATCGGCTAACCTTGACGAGAGCATCGTACAGCTGGTGGAAGCATTCGTCATCTTGTGCGGCAACCGCTCCCTTGAGAGCATCCTTGAAGGCCCTCTGCACTGCTGATGGGAGGGAGGGTATGATGGGAAGGACGGCGGCCGCTTCAGCAGGATTCTTCTCAATGAAATCGGTCGTCAGCCTCGATACAATGCGATCACAGCGCTTCTCAGGCAGATCGCCGACCGCCGCCGCCCAGGACAGCATGAGTCGGAGGCGGTGGTCGCGCGCCCTGACCAGGAACACCAGCATGTGAAGAGCGACCTCGCGATGGATCGACCTGCAAAGGCGAACACCAATCGAGCAATGCACCACCAGTGTGTCTGTGCGTTAATGCGTTTGTGCTCCCTCGTTGTTCACCTGGCCATGTGTGTGACGTCATCCCATCGCCCCGCCTTGACACACAGCCGGAGGTAGTGCAGGGCGAGAGCGCGCATCGGGAAGTGTCGCACCGTCATGGTCATCTTGACGTCCTTGAGCCGCGCCTCTCCCACCCCCTGCTGCACCAGCGACTCGCGCGAGATGTTGCGTGGGGTGGCTTTCGTCTCAATCCCATCTCCCAGCATCTGCAGAACGAAGCGCCGCACAGACGGGCCGTCGTCCCCCATGTGGATCCTCCCTATCATCTCGAGGTCTCCGTACAGCCGGACTGTGCCATCGCTGTCACCACCACTGGCGATCTCCAGAGAGCCGTCAGCAGCGAAGCACCTCACAAACGACTCCCCCTTCGCGCCCTCGTCGACGCTTTTGAAGGCGATGTGCCAGCCGCCGACGTCTGCAATTTTCCCATTGCCGTCGCGCATGGCGTTGGGATGCGAGTCGCCGCATGGCTGAATGGTGAAGGGGTGGGGAAGGGCGGCCACGTCGAAGTCGATACCGCCGCATCTGGCCGACCTCCGCTGGCTGTTGGCGAAGGGGTAGGCGCTGTCGGTGGCGGACCGAGTGAAAATGTCCCTCTCGAATACCGAACCTGCAGATCAAGAGTGCATTCCTGTGAGTGCTGACAGCATGCCTCTCGCCTCTCCCCTCACCGTGCGCTGCAGCGAGCGACGTGCTGCCCGTCGCAGCTGTGATGAACCGGCCAACCTCCTGACAGCTCATATCGATGCGGCCAAACGACAGCCCGTCCACCAGACTGTCCACCAGGCTGATGGCCGCCTTGACGGCGTCATTCGTCTCGTCCTCCCCTCTCACACACCGACGCCACTGGGCACTGATGACGTCGGGCTTCTTGCGCAGTGCCGGCATGAGGGCCGTGCGAATGTCCGGGTGCTGGTGGATGAAGCGGGCGATGAAGGCGTAGGGGGAGAAGCTGTCCAAGAGGCTTTCGGCCAGCTGCTTGTCGGCAAGCCAGCGCTCCAGCACCACCTGACAGGTTGGATCACGTCCATTGAGTATGTATGTATAAAGATAAAGATCCGCCATGTACCCGTCGGTGGATGCCCCAGAGCAGGCTTTGGTTGCTGCCCGGTGTGAAGATCTTGTCGGTGTCGAACTGCAGGTAGTCGAGGGCGATCATCGCGTCCAGCAGGTTGTCCTTGGTCAGCGAATCTATGATGTCGGCCCCGTGCTGCAGCACCACCACACCGATGGCTCGATTGACTACCTCCTTGATGCACACTTGACGCTGCTGGCCCTCTTGGAACTCACCGTCCAACACCTGCACGAACACACAGACGAAGCGGGCCGATGTGCATTTCTGATCTGCTGCGTCTGGTGCTGTGTGTCTGACCTTCTGGAAGTACTTGTACTGATGTAGGGGAGTCTCTTTCACAACCAGCGGCTCTTCGCCGTCGCTGGCGAAACTGACACTGATTGACGGCTCGACGAGATCAGTCATTGCAGCAGCACTCGACGACAGATTGCTACAGCGACCAGCTAGACGCCAAGCTACCCACGCGGAGCCACGAGATCCGGGAATGCTCAACGCGCGCTTTCCTCCGAGCTCTCCCAATTCGTCGCCTTCCTTGGTCACGGTGAGATTTCGATGGTTCACCGTTGACTGACCGGACACACTGCCAATGGCGTCGCCGTACGGCAGCTTCGACTCAGCAGCTCCATCGAGCGGCAGCTCCTTTCTTGCCGCTCTTCGTAACTGTCTTCCTTCGTCGACAGTGCGACGCGCGTCGACGACACGGAGAGGGACGCGAGAGGGCGAGGGCGGCAGCGACGGGCCCGATGAATGCAGAGAAGGCGCTGAAGTATTAACAGAGATGGATACGGAGATGACAGGAGTGCAACCACCAATAACTGGTGCTGGTGGCATTGGTTATGGTGGTGCTGACGAGAGGTGGCGTGAGAGGTATCGCAGGAGGGGAGAGGAGGAGAGGGCGGAAGAGGGTGACCATGACAATGACAATGACGGCAACGGGCCGGGCGGACTGCAGCAAGTCAAGGACCGTGAGCACACAAACAAGAGCGGTCTGTTGTCACCTCCCTACCTCCCTCTGTGTGGGTGCGTTCAGAGCTTCCTCTGCCGCGTGAAATGATGGTGGGCATGCTCAGCTACCTCAGGCCGCCGCAGCTGCTCAGGCTGCAGCTCGTCTGCAAGGTCAACACATACAAAGATGGGCTGCACCTATCAGACCTATCCCATCATCCCATCTCTGTGTGTTTGTCATGTTCTGCTTTGCAGGATTGGTGTCTAAACATCTTCGACAACGCCAACTTCTGGCTGACCATCGCCCACCTGCATTATGATTATGACGGCCCGGCTCAGACAGATCATGAGTCTGATGACGACCGCCATGTGGACTGTCGGGCGCTGCTGAGAAGAGCTGCACAGGTACACACAGACAGTGAGGTGCCCAGACAGAGAGACGGGGAGAGACAGAGAGACTGCATGAGTATCTTCTATCTCTATGTGTGTGTGTCTGTCTGTCTGTCTGCCTGTCTGTCGACCAATCAGATGCGCGAGGCGTGCAGGCAGGGGCGGTTCTCACACACAGGTGTGTGTGTGTGTGTGTGTGTGTTGGGGGCGGCCGATGGTGCCACCCATCTACCGCCTCTCTCTGTCTGTTGTGTGTGCACAGGGTACTCCCTGCAACATGGCTTCCTCCGGGCCGGTTTGCAGCACAACCACGTCACATCGGTGTCTGCCCTCGACGGCCAGTACGTCGCTCTCGGCCATCAGGGGTGCAAGATCTCTGTGTGGGCCATGAACGAGCCACAGCCGGGCAGGAGACCGGGGCGCCCACCCAGGCCACACCAGCGCCAGCACCAGCAGGTGGGACGATACAGAAACTCTCTTCTCAATGCTCATGCGTCGGTATCTCTGTGTTTATGTGCATTTGTGTGTCTTCAGCGGAGCGTGAGCAGCCCCTCCATCTCTGCGCCGCCGCCGGCTTCCGCTACCAGCAGCAGCAGCAGCTCGTCAAGTGCCGACGTCTCCCACCCCTGCCCCTCCTCATTGATGCGCCCCTCTGCGTGTCTAGCGGGCCTCTGGGTCACAAACAACGTTTACCAAAGGGTCCGCGGGGTGGGTGGGCGCGGGTGCAGCAACGAAGAGAAGCAAGTGGAGACCGAATTCTTTCTTGTGTGTGTGTGTCGTGGTGTGGTGTGTTGTGTTGTGTTGCCTGCAGGCTTACTCGGGCGGCAGTGGGGACAGGAGTTGGCGGCAGCTGGTGCACCCACTGCCGCCGGTGCTGGACCATCTCGCAGAGGAAGAAGTCCGTACACAAACGAAACGAAGACACACCGAGACGCCACACAGATGTATCATTGTGGGTCCATGTGTGTGTCTTTCTCTGGCGCGTTCAGGTGGAGGACATGTCTTACGACGGCCGGCTGCTCATCGCTGCCATCGCCACGGTAAGAAGACACCAACACACAGTCGATCTCCCCATCCATCCATCCATCCATGTGTCAGGTGGTGCTGGTGTTTCGCGTGCCCACCCACCTGCCGCTCGACTCGGCCTCTCTGCAGGAGTGGGCCTTCGTGCGGCACGTCACACACGACCGTCCCCCTCCCATCGTCCCGCGCAACGCCCTCCCGGCAACAAGTGCCGCCGAGTGGCTCGCCTTCTACGCCAACTACTGCAGCTACACCGAGTGAGTGACCACGATGGATGGATGGATGCATGGATGGATGGATGGATGGAGCACAGCACTCGTCGCAATATGTGGGGCCGTGGGTGTGTGTCGTCAATCATAGCCCGAGGGGTATTTTTTCCTCCTCTGCGTCGGCGTCTGCGGATCCAACGGGCGCAATCGGCGGTGGCGTTGGTCGCTCTATAAACGTGAACGAGAGCATTACTGTCAAGAAGGTGGAGATCCACCCCGGCAACCAGCTCGGTGAAGCGCGAGACGGCCTGATGGCCTCATGCTGCGAAGATGGGACTCTTAGAGTGTTCGACACACATGGTGCGCCAGGCAGAAGGAAGCATCGGCCGACGCCGCCTTCGCGTGTTCACGTCTTCACGTGTGTGCAGGCCGTTTGCTGGGCCCTCTGACGTTCGCGAATCGTCACGCCATCCCGACTGCGCTCGGCTTCCGGGGCGTGTCGATGGGCTTCCACGCCTACAAGCCTTTCCTGCTGGTGGCGCTGCCCAAGTACGAGGAGGTCCTGGTGTTCTCGTGCCAAGAGCGGGACAAAGTCCCCTCACCAGTGCTCAGACTAAAGGCAAGAAAGCACAATGGATGGATGGATGGATGGATGGCATTCGCCATGTGTGTGTGTGTGTGGTGCAGTCGTGCTGGCTGTCCGGTTATGCGCCTCTCCGCGGGCACTACCTGCCGTCATTCTTCGCGTGCACCGCGTCCAAGTGCCGTGCTGAGCTGCACCGCATGGCGGCCACTGGCAGCATGCCCACGTGGGTGCGGAACACCCTCCCGACCAAATGCATCACCGGTAGGCAGACAGAGGAGAGGCATAAAGAGGGGTGGTGGAAGGTATGGGAGAATCATCTCTCTCTCTCTCTCTCTGCCTATGTTTGTGTCAGGTTGTGTCGTGAATGACAGCGGCTTGCTTCCCGTTCGATTGCAGTACATCGACCTTGACGAGCACCTCCCCACACACACCCGCGCCACCACCACCACCACCATAACCACCACCACCACCCCTTCTCCCCCACCCCGACCCCCACCCCCTCCCCTCTCCCAGCCATCACCACCCTCCCGCCCCTCCCCCTCCCTCCCCTCCCCACTGGTCACAACCATCGACAGCGCGGGGCGCATCATCCTGCGGTCGGCAGATCCGTCGCGCACCTTCCTTGAGGACTGTCTCGGCAACCCTCTGCACGGAGTGCTCGTCATTTTGGCGCGGCAGGGGTCGGTGCTCACGGCAGAGATCTGGCCGGGCAGTGATGGACGGGGGAGTGAGAAGGAGGATCTGCTCGCCTCGGTGTGTCCTCCGGAGAAGGAGAAGCAGAAGCAGACGACGGGAGCGAGGCAGAGAGGGAGGAAAGGGGGTTATGGGTATGGGTATGTGGGGACGACCGTGCGTCAGAAACCGCTGTATCGGATTGCACTGGAGATGGGCTCATACGTGCCGCCGCTGATGAGTGCGACGGACGGCAAGCTCGTGTACTACAGCAGCGGCGGGCCGGTCAGAAGCAGCAGTAGTAGTAGCAGTAGCAGCAGGAGAGAGGAAGACGACAGGGGGAGCATGATTTTCGTCGTGAGATGGGGCGGGGGGGCCTGACTGACTGTCGGTGGTGTGTTATGTCGATAACTCACTCTATATTTGTGTGTGATTTTGTCTAGGCAGATGAGATGCCCTCTGGTGCCTGTGCCAATGCCCGTGTGCGCGAGGCGACCACACGTGGCCGGCCATCTTGTATGAGTGGTGGTGTGGTGGTGTGTGTGTGATTGGTGTCTCCCCCCGCCCTCTCTCTCTCTTTGCCCACTGGATGGATGGATGGATGCTTCTCAATTTTGGCCGAGCGTCGTGGCTTCCCTGAGTGCGCCGCCGCCCATGGTCGCTGTACCTACCCCAAGTGCAGCGACTCTCATGACGCAGCACTCGGGTATCTCCGACGGTTGGCCGAAATGTGATGCAGGAGTGGAGAACTGTTGGACGCCTGTGCGAATCGTATCAACAGCTCATTGAGGGTGACATCACAGCATATGGTCCGCACACTCTTTCTCACAGTTACGGTAGATGTACTAAAGCTTACGTGAAGCCATAGGGGTCAGGAGGGGAGAGGGGGGGG